CATTGGAAGAGCACTTATTAAAACTACTCAGAATAGCTGAAAAGTTATTAGGGAATACCTATGGAGGATAAGAGCAAGAAAACTATTCCTTTCAAAACTTATTACACTCAGTATTACTTCAATGGATTGTTTAGACTTATTGTTTCAATCTGGATGCTGCTATAACTTTTCAGCATGCAATAAATAGAGTTTTGACAGAGTATAGAGACTTCACTCATGCCTACATTGATGACACTGCACTACTCAAAACTGACAGATTATTTAAGCAATGTAGAATTATATTATCAAAACTAGAAGTAGATTCACTGTTAGTTTAGAAAATTGTTCACTCACTAGACTTCACTAAATACTTAGGACACATTAAAGGGTTCGGGAAAACATCAGATAGATCCTGAGAAAATCAGAAAATTCGAGCTATTGAGAGGCTTTGAAAGGCAAACACTAACACAGAATTGAGAAGTTTGATATAGCTTTGCAATTATTATAAGGCTCTCCAAAATGTACCATCATGAACATCATACCAACAGCATGACAATTGCATTATGTGTATACTATGGTAGAATACGTAAATGATTACCATTTCAGCATACACACATATCATGGATGAAGGAAGCACTCCTTACAAACTGTAAAGGGAGGAGAGCTTGCCATTATGAGCAATATGAACTGCTGTGAGATTTTTTGTGTGTGCAGCTTCAGTATGCCTCACAAAACAACAACAACAACAACAACAACAACAACAAAAAAAAAAAAAAAAAAAAAAAAAAAAAAAAAAAAAAAAAAGAGCATCATTTGAACACATTTCTGAGTTCAACTGAGGCAGAATCGCAGTATACAGAGATTGCACATTATCCTTCCAGGAAATCTCTCTAGTATCAGACATAGCCAAGAAACAGTCACACAAATATGTAATCGGTGGATCCAGAAGGGAATGACAGACGGATAGCATCAATTGCAACCACCTCATTGCACCACTCCATGGGAAGACAGACATAATGTGCGTATGGCACAGAAGGATCGAGCTGCCACAACCGCAACCATCTCAAAATGAATGTAGTCTGTAACACAGTTGGTGTCTGCATGAATAACTGTATCGTTTATGGTATAATGGATTGTCTGCTAGGTGTCCATTGCTTTACTTACTTCTAACTTTTAATCACAGGCATCTGCATTTGCAATTATGCACTGAATAGTGAAGACAGACATCTAAATGGCATGACATTGTGTTTTTAGAATACCATGGAGAAAGGCTGCTCAATTGTTATGTTGTGCATCAGCATACTCGTTCTGCTCCCGGTGTTATGATGTGGGGGTGGGGTTGGATTACACTCCCCCATTTCTTAGTACACATTATGGGTACACTTAACAGCCAGTGTTCCATCTCTCAGATTTTTCAGCTTGTTCTCCTTCCCTACTTTCATTTCTTGCCTGCAGCCACATCTTAATTGGACAATGCAACTCATTACCATTTTTCTCATCTTCCTGACCTCACAAGAATGTTGTATTTCAAATCACCCTATGTGTCTGTATTACACATGATTTCAAATCATGTGTTCATTGATATTATGTGTAATCTCTGAAATAAATTTGGCTTTGATATTTCTCCTACTTCTCCATGCTGCATTTTGAATGGCCAGCAGTTTGTATTCCACATTATGCAAAAATCACATACCCACTTGCAGTATGAACTAGAAAAGGAGTTTTTGATTTTTTTTTTTTTTTTTTTTTTTTTTTTTTTTTTTTTTTTTTTTTTACTAAGATTTATGCACATTTTACAACTGATTGAGTAGTTGATATTAGTTGCTACAGTAGGCAACTAATATGGGTGCACTCAATCTTGGAGAAAACTTTTTAAAAATTAAATTTCATATAAAGGTATTTCTACAGTTGAAGAAATTGTCAGTGGAGGCAACTAATTTGAATACACACAATCTTAGGAATCCCATGATAATACAGTCAGATGCTTCTTTAAAGTGCACTGGCACTTTTTATTTCAATGCAGAGATGGAAAATTGGTCCTGTTGGTTACACAAGCCAAAAACTAGCAAAATCTCAACAGGTATGGCCAACAATTGAGAAAGGGCATTTACAGTCATAACGAATTTGAAGAACTTTGCTGCAATGTTGGGTATAAGCACTTTAAAAACATGATATAACTATTTCACATTGCCTGGGTACAAAGCTTATCAACCTTTATGCTTTGTTTTGATTACCACTTCATAATTGATGTATTGATTATATGTGCTACTATTATGTAACTCTTTGTGACTCTATATTGATTTTAAAGAGAATATAAGAAGACAATTAGCGTAACATCATGTGATGACCACTTATGTTACATTGTTATCATTATAATGAATTACAATACTTATTTTTACACTTTTAACAGATTAAGTAAATTAATGGAGACCCATAAGATTTTTTGTTGAATACAGTTATTGAGCTAAGTATTGGATATTTTAATTGTATTTCAAAATTTTATACTTTGATTTATTTGCTATCATTGCTGTGAATTAATATTTTTTAAATATTTTTATGGAAAACAGTAATTAACTAACACTGATTATGATAACCATTAAAAGGAAAAATTTCTGTTATGTAACAGTTCACAGCTGGAATTTGTATCAAACTGATGAAATAAGTATTTAAAGGTACCAGACAATTATCAGATATGTGATCCTGGTGTGCACCTCAATCACAACTTTAAATGGAAAGGGCTCATATTTGATATTTCCCTCTCATTTCATGTCTCAATGGAAAAAGATATGTATCCTCTCTGGCAAAGGAAGCAACAGGGAATGAGTTAGGGTCTGGATAGGAACTGAGTAACTGCTATGATACATGGAGATACACACTTGCCAATAACTGAATATATGCTAAAGCTGCACTATGAAACAAGCATGCACTTTGGTCTCTTGAAGATAGGCATTTCAAAATTAATAGTATGCAAAACTCGTACATATAATTTTATACTACTTATGTCTGAAAAAATTATCATTTGTATTAAAAAAAATTCAAAATCTGATAGAATAAATTTGACAAGAATTATAGTGCTAAGTTAGGAAACATAACATTTCTTCAAAAGATCAACTGAAACAAGTGATGAAACAAGAATAAAAATGGCACAAAACTTACAAAAAAAATTCACTTAATGCCAAATCAATTGCAATGAGTAACAAAAGCAAGAGGACAGCTTGGCAGATGTTTTTTTTTTTTTTTTTTTTTTTTTTTTTTGTTTTTTAGAAATGCCTTTTAATTTCTCCAAGACTTTCATGGTAGCTTTTTTTTCATTGCTGACTAATTTTTTAACACACATTTACACTAGATAAAAGGTAGGCAGGGCTTTATAAAGAATATTATGATGGTATGTTTAAAAACTATAATGAAAACATAGCTTAACTTAAATCTTTTCACATGCTATTTTTGCAGCAGAATTTAAGATGCCAGAGTTCTTTTGAGAACAAACATATACAGTACAAAGTCCGAAATCCGGACATCCATTATTGGAAATGATCTATTATTGGACCGGATCTCAAAGACACAAACCTTTTTTTTTTTTTTTGGGGGGGGGGGGTATGCACATTTGATTTTTCCTTCCATAATAAAACATGTGGAGATTTTCAGTTAAAAATTTTGATTCTTAATTTCACTTAGGTACTAAATAAAATACCTCGTTATGGAAAAACAATCATGTAAGCATAAATTTGTGAGATTAATAATTTAATAATTTGGCTTCGTAGCTGAGTATCTGCTTGGCATACATCTCAAACCGAAACATTCACCTATTTTATATCCCTGACGCCAAACTACAGAGTCATTATTTATTATATTTTCCTTTCAGCACCGAATGTTTATCAATACATGACAGCTTCAGTAATAACTCTAAACTTTTTTATAGTAGTAATTGAATAACAAGAGTATGGCAACCTTTTATGCTAACATTACGTTTGGTGATGATTGTAGATTTTTAAATGCTCTAAGAAATGTTGACAAGTAAAAATTCAACAAAAATTTCTTTTCATATGCTGAAAATAAGATTTTGTTAATGAAACTCATAAGCCAAAAGATTACATTTAGTGCTATTTTAATTAGGAATAACTGATATGTTATTCACCATAAACCCAGATGCGGCGGCAGAATATTTTGACACCGGACGGCAGATTTAGGAAAGACGAAATTTTTGGAATTTGGAGAAGCACCGAGCGGCAAAATCAAGGGATGAGAAGTTTTTTATGATTTAGGGAAAGCACTGGGATCCAAAGTTTAGGCGTGGTGAAAATTTAGAACTTAGGAAGGCGTTTTGTAGCAGAATTTAGGACCCGTAGAGACTGCACCAGGCGGTATCTAAGCGCCAGTCCTACATAAAGCCTTAAGTATATGTGGGGGTTTATTTATTCAGGATTCAGATTAGTGTTAAGCATGTGCAAGAAGTAAACATAGGTATAGTAAATAACTAAACTAATACAATTCAGGTTTAATTAAGTACGCAATAGGAGCAAGACAAAATTTAGGGAATCAACTTGGCTTTTGTTGCCAATCTTGTGATACACAGTCAATAACGTATAACAGACGCTATTAAGCTAGGATAAAAATTATCTTTATTGATTCTAAGGCATTTTAGTTAATGTAGCAGACTGTGCTGCTCCCTAATCTTCTAATTTGATCCAGCTTATTATTTTTTGTAGACTGTTATTATTACAGTTATTTTATAAAAACTAAGCTTGAACTTTCGATTACGCTGAAAAGAGTTTCTAATTCTGAAGCTGCCATAGGATCTACAAAGCAAAAACATGTTTCGATGTCCTTTAAACAAAAAGAATGGATAAAGGCATATCAGTCTAAATTGATTATCTAATATTCGGAAAAAACCCAAATCCAGAATCTCCGAAGCCCCAATGAGTCCGGATTTTGGACTTTGTACTGTATAAGTTTTATACGTACTGATTTTATAAAATCATATAATAAAATCTCAAGCTTGTGCGATGTGTAAAAAACATTACCTGTTTTTTTCCTATATGGCTTTTCCACAGGTGGTATAAAGGATTTATTTCTTTTCTCTTGTCTTTTAACTTCAGCTTCAGCCTTCTTGGCCTAAAATTAAAACAAATTACATTTACTGTAAATAAAGAGTTCTGAGCTATGCATAATTTTAAAAACTTACTGCAGTGCTTTTAATTAAACTTAACAATATAATTTGCATTGCCTTTAACCTGAATATTTTACTTTACTGGGGGGCACATTGTTGTATTGAAAAATCTCTTTTTTATAGAAATATGAATTTTTAATGTCATACAAACATTTACATATAAAATTAGATAAAATTCAAGCTTTGAAACACTATTCATTTTAGGAAATGCTCCTTACATTTCAAGATAATCTAAAATAAGTCTCTCTTTTTCAGGAAACAAATGTGAATAGCATAAGAAAGAACTATATAATTCCATGTAAAACGAATACAGCAATCTATCACTATAACATCTGAAGTTGGATTGAAAGGCTGAAGGACTGGAGACTTAAAACTGTCATATTTCTCTTACAATTAGAATATTAGTATCTAAATGTTTCACTTTCAGGTTATTATCCATTTATTTTAAATAAACATATAAGGAACCTATGCAGTGCAATTTGCATTAATAATCATAAAAATCTCACAACATAATTTGTGCAAGTTTCTTTTCAAACAGAAATTAAATCTTTCGAGAAAGATACAATAAAAATACACACCATTTTTTCTGTTAACTTCTTCTTTTTCTTTTCATCTTCCTTTAAGAAATATTCTCCAGATGCTAAAAGTTTATCAACCTGGAAGGGGGGGGGACAAAAAAAAACTCAAAACATTATTTATTATATTATTTACAAAAGTCTGATTTTATAAATAAAGGTTTTTCAGTCACAAGATAAAAAAGCAGAATATACCATTTCAAACTCAGGCAAGCAAGAATAAAACAATGAAATAATTGATAAAGTGGCCTATTACAGGAAAAGAGAACTTACATTTTAACAGATTTTGCACTGAAATAAATTAATGCATAATAAGTGTTTTAAACATCTATTGAAAAATTTAAAAAAAAAAAAAAAAATCAAACTTCTAAATATCAGCCTTTTTCTAAAAATACTAATTTTTGAATGCTCCAAAAGTTATGCAGTTTAGATTTTTAAATTACTTTATATCAAATATTAAAACACTTCACCTATTGCATAAAACGTGTGAAAAAATTGTAAGAAGTGGTTAACAAAGTATGCTGTAATCCGATGTATTAAAATTATCACATAATTACAAATATTTTGTTTATAGATGTTTAATTACTATACTGAGCTATGGTGCACAAAATTTCATATATGTTGCAATTTTCAATAACTCCAAACTTTAAATAAAACTTAAGATATCAAATTCAGCAATCTGGTTACTTTGACAACAAGGAAGAATACTTTCAAGTTGTCAAATTTTTGGAACCACCACCACTTCCAAGATCTTCATTCAAATCTTAATAAAATTTTACATGAGCTCCATTTAATGAATTTTCCAACGTTTTCCACGTGATTCTACAACTCATTAAACAGAAGTCCAACTGCATTAACACCGAGAGTAGTTGCAATCTTTGCAGTAACGTTTTTTCCAACTTAAAAACAGAAAGAACACTTGCCTTGAATGTGTCTTTTAGTAAAACTTTTCTGTAAAATTAGAATTTAAAGAAAGTGTGAACTGTGTATACACTAACATAATACATCAGAAAAATTAAATCGTTAAGTTAGTGAATATTATTTTCAAAATACAGTAACACTCAATAAATAGAAGATCATAGAATTATCCTTTTTTATTACAGAAACTAATTTTCTCATTAGAAAGTAAAATCAAATACCGTATTTGACAGCATATAAGACGCACCCTTATTTAGACGGTCAAAAGTTTCAATAGCGTGGTTTCTTTTAGTTCTCACGTTTCGTAAAAGCCAAATAAACAATTATTGAATGCAATTACCTTCACGTATAAGACTGTGCCCTTCACATAGAAGACGCAGGTAACTTTTTTGAGACCAAATTTAGGAAAAAAAGTGCATCTTATATGCCGTCAAATACGGTAGATCTAAAATTTAAATAAATATGTATATGCATTGAGTAATTAGGTTCAGCTGGGATAAGATAATTTTGGAAATGCTGAAATTTAGTAATTTTTAATGGCTTAAAAAGTCCTGTTGAAAGTAAATTATTTAAAAAAAAGTCATGTATGTCAACTTACTTTACTCTCTGGTTGATGAGGTGGGAATGGTGTGTATTCCTTTTTCTCTTTCTTTTTCTTCGGTTGTTTTCTCTGAACATTCTTATTCACATACTTGGGTAAGAAACGCTCCCAATTTTCATTTTTTAATTTTGGATCTTTTGCAAGTTCCCTTTTTATCATAAGGGCCTTGAAAATAATTATACATGCATTATAACGCTATTTTGTTGAGCATCACTTTCTAATCAGACAAATAAATAACTAAATATATTCTATAACATAAAAAGCAACACAACACGAAGTTATCCAGTGGGATGAAACTGCGTATGCCCATACCTTACTATAGACTATGCAAATGATTTAACTTTTGGCAGCCAGTGACTGACTAGTTGGAGCTATGGACGTAGCCAGGGGGTGCAGGGAGGTGACTTTGAACCTGCCTAAACAAATGCAGCTTTTTTTTTTTTTTTTTTTTATTTCAACTAACAAGTTAGCAAAAAGTTTTTTCTGTGTCTTATATTATTCTTTAAGGTTCCCCCTCCCCGGTCTTCTGTAGAATCTCTTAGCCGAACGATTTGAATCTTTTCCCAGCTGCCCATGCAAATAAGGACCACCTAGTTCTGGACATCCTTTTGCTTACATTAACCTTAAACAATATAAATAAGTAACGGATGTCTGGTTGTAATTCTAAGAGTTTCTTATAAACAAGCATTCCCTCTTTATCTTAATTTACCTCAAAACAGGAAAATTGACTCGCATTTCCTTAATTTTTTTTTAATATAGTAGCAATCTTCATCAATCATTTGAATATAACCACTGAAAGACTTTAAATGCATGCATCGTGGGTATTTTGCACTTCTAATTTTTTATAGAGGCAGGCTATCAATTTCATTCATAGCCAGAATTTATTTACATTTATAACAGTATTATAATGGAAAAAGTATTAATTTTAGAATGTATGAGGGGTAATCCAAAAAAAAAAGTTTACAAGGCAAATGAAAAAGTATTTATTAACAATAGAAACAAGATACAAATGGGAATCAAGAGACACATATGGCCTTCACTTTTCCCACATGGTCGCTAAACCTGTTTAGGCATTTGTCAGAATGTTTGACCAACTTGTTTATTCCGTCTTGGTAGTAATCAGGGCCCTGCTCATTGAGCCATTTCTCGGCAGCTGTTTTCACTGCATCGTCTGAGGCGAACCATGTTCCGGATAAGTATCGCTTCAATGCCGGAAAAATGAAATAGTCACTTGGAGCCAAATCGGGGCCTATGGGGGGGTGATTCCAGACCTCCCACTTGAACCTTTGCAGCAATTCCTGAGTCTGGCGACCTGTATGGGGCCTGGCATTGTCATGCAGAAGAATGACGCCTTTGCTCAGTAATCCAGGTTGTTTGCATCGGATGGCTTTACATAATTTCGTTAAGGTGGCACAATAACGATCGGCCTTAATGGTATGGCCACGCTCCAAATACTCGATTAGGATAACACCAGTTGTATCCCAGAAAATGGTTGCCATCACTTTACCGGCAGAGGGTGTGACCTTAAACTTCTTCCTCGTCGGTGATCCAGCGTGTTTCCACTCCATCGTGGCTCTTTTGGATGTGGGGGTGAAGTGATGAAGCCATGTTTCATCACCGGTAACGATGCGATCAATGAAGTGTTGGCTGTCTGAATGGTATCGCTAAAGAAATGTGAGGCTGCACATCATTCGAGTGGCCTTATGCGCTGCGGACAACACACGTGGAACCAAGCGGGCACAAACTTTGGAATATCGCAACTCATCGGTTATGATACACTGAACGTTACCATAACTCAGGTCCAACTCTGAGGCAATCTCACGCATGGTTACTCATTGATCCATCTGGATGATTTCTTCAACATGTGCCGTATTGATATCCATCCTTGAAGAACTTGGACGGCTGCTCGCTTCCATATTGTGGTTTTCTACATGCTCCCTGCCCGCTTGATAAGAACGACACCATTTCGCTACCTGTTGTCTACTCATTGCTTTGTCCTCATATACCTCAACGATTTGTCTGTGAATTTCGGATGCGGCCACATTCTTGGCCCATAAGAATCGAATTACGGCTCGCACCTCTATGCGAGACCACTTTCTAGACGTCGTGCCATTACTGTCGCTCTTAAGTGTCTGCGTACTGACGCTACTTACTCGTAGAACTGCTGTAGGACAACTAGTGACATCCGTCAACCACCCTGGGTGGAAATATTCCACAATTATTACGTTTCAAATGCTTCTGCTTGTAAACTTTTTTTTGGATCAACCTATGTATAAAAATGCTTCCTAAACATTTTAATTGAAAGTTTGCTAAAAAACATTTGCTTAAATGCAGGAGATAACTTATACAGGCCCTTCTTGTAAAATTTTATTTAGATCTAAATTTTAGTAAGGCGGTTTAGTAAGGTTTTCTGAATGTTATTGATTAAATAAGTGACTGCATGTATGTGCATGGATATTATATAATACCTTTTGAATGCTTTTAGCTGTATTAACCCAATTTAATATGAATACTCGTCAACTCTAACACTGGAAAAACCTAAGTACCATGATATAATTTTTGACATTGCTTTCCAAACAAGTAATTAATTTTGTATTATATTTTAGCAGTGAAAAGGACGATAATAGAAGACATTAGTGAAAGTGAAAGAATTAATGAAAATATGTGCCTCTCCTACCACGTTAGGTAAAGCCATACTTCCATCTACATCGCATAGTAGTGACACCATCGAGGAATGTTGCAACCATGATGTGGGAAGATGGACAGGATGTTCGTCATTAATGGCCCCACAACTAAAGACGGAAATATTAAAATGTTGTTGGACACCTGATGAAAATTATGATTTTGTAGAAGATGCTATCCATTCAAGAACAAAGTTTAAACATGAGTCACTAAAGACCTATGCTCCTTGGCTAGCATACTCAAAAAAGTGTAAAAGGAGCATTATGCTTGTACCGAGTTCATTTTCCTCTTGCTTCTGCATCAGTGAAAGGTGTTTTGGATTCCTTCTTATTAAGCCATTCACGTGTTATCATGTCATGCATGGAGCTTGTAAAAATCACTTTTCAGACCAGCGGCACAAAGCATCAGTAATCACTACCAAGAATTTTCTAGAAAATGAACTTGTACATGTTAGACTAGCTTCTGGGTACAAAAAAGTAATGAAAGAAAATCAAAACATAAAAGCGCCAATCATATTTTGTGGAACTCATAATCTCTCTCTAAGGAGTAAGACGAAACAGGAGGAGAATTATCAGGACCTGATTTGTCTAAAAATCGAAGCAGGAGATAAAAGTTTGCAAAGAAGTTTCGAAACGAATAGTAAAAATGCTACTTATATGTTACTGCAAATCCAAAACAAACTGAACAGTTTGTGTGGATTGGTGGTGAAGACACTATAATATGAGATGCAAGAAAAACTTCTGCTTACAGCATAATGTCAGACGAAACAGACGTATCTGGGAAGGAGCAATTGCCAATTGGTATTTGATTTTTTGATGAAGAAAGGATGGCTCTCTGGGAAGAATTCTTAGGATTTATTGAACTAAATGCAATGGATGCTCTTACTCTAGCAAATGAATTACACATTTTTCTGAAGGGGGAAGGTTTTGATCCAAATAAATGTGTTGGACAGGGTTGGATGTTCAACCATGGTAGGGAATATTATTGGCATGCAGAAGACCTTGCAACAGAAGTATTAAAAAACCTTGTTTTTCCATTGTGCCAGTCACAAATTAAATTTAGTTGATAACAATTTGAGCTGCGTATCAGAAATCAGAAATACATGATATGATCAACTTTTTTCGTGAATCGGTTCTATGAAGAAGATACGAGGCACGTCCAGAAAGTAAGTTCCGTTTCAATTTATCTGCAGCTCTGCGATCGCAGTTCCGCACATGCGCAGTAGACGCTCTGTATCAAGGAGAAGAAAGCTCTGTATCAAGGAGAAGAAAAGCATGCCATTTGGAGATCGCTGTCAGTCACGTACGCTTTGTTGTGCTTGTTTACAATGTCGGTGTTGACTGAAAATCCCGCCGCTTGTGAAATCAGATCTGTGATTCGTTTTCTGAATGCAAGGAAAATGAAACCTAGTGAAATTTATCGGCAAATTTGCGATGTTTACGGACCAAAAGTGATGAGTGATTCAATGGTGAGAAGATGGGTCCGAAAGTTCAGTGACGGACGTAGTGATGTGCACGATGAAGAACGAAGAAGCGGGCGTCCATCTTTCGCTACAGAAGAACTGGTTCATGCGATTGATGACAAGATCCATGAAAATCGAAGGTTTACAATTAGTGCTCTCGCTATGGAATTTCCCCAAATTTCACGATCACTAATGCATGAAATTGTTACCGAAAAACTGAAATTTCGTAAACTTTGCTCACGTTGGGTACCAAAGATTCTTACTGAGCAACACAAAACAAAACGGATGGGTAGTGCACTTCAGTTTTTGACCCGTTATGCTGAAAGCGGCGAAGAATTTCTGACAGAGATAGTCACAGGAGATGAAACTTGGGTTTCTTACGACACCCCTGAAAGTAAGCGGCAATCAATGGAATGGAGGCACACTTCATCCCCAGCAAAGGTTTAGCCGAAGCAAATCTTGACACCTCAAAAAATGACGTGCACAGTGTTCTGGGACTGGAAAGGCATCTTATTGATTTCTTACCCCGTGGTCAAACAATTAGAGCAGATGCTTATTGCGAGACACTTTGGAAATTGCGCCGCGAAATACAGAATAAGCGCCGAGGATTGCTGTCGAAAGGTGTTGTTTTTCTTCACGACAACGCACGACCACACACTGCAAATGTGAAGAAAAACCTCCTACAGGGATTTGGCTGGGACGTGTTTGACCATTCTCCATACAGCCCTGACCTCGCTCCTAGCGACTTTCATCTGTTCTTACATCTTAAGTCTTTCCTTGGCGGTCAACACTTGAACAATGACGACGAGCTGAAAGAAACTGTTTCCAACTGGTTGAAGACACAGGCGGCAAATTTCTATGAAGAAGGTATACAAAAACTTGTGCCACGTTATGACAAATGCCTGCAATATTTCGGCACTTATGTGGAAAAGTAGTTTAAGAGTTGTTGAATTTTGTGCAATAAATAACTTTTCTGTAGCTGTACACAATTTACTTTTATTACCAAACGGAACTTACTTTCTGGACGTACATTGTATATACAGTCAAAAGTCGTTAATTCGGACACCCATAATTTGGAATGATCCATAATCCGGACATCAAAACTAAAAACTTTCTGCGCATGCGCCGCGTTCACACATGCGCAGAGGCGTTCACGCGTGCGCGTAAGACCTTTTACGACTGCGCATATGAGTGTGCGCAAGTGCAGAATACGTTTTAGCGTGCGCATTTTATGTATAATGGACGTATAAGCTAAAATTATCTAATTATCTATTTCAGTTAATGTTGATGATTGCGTTGTTCCTTAATTTTCGAATTGCATCCGGCTTATTATTTTTTGCAGACTGTAAGAGCAATTTTATAAAAGTAAGCTTAAACTTTCGATTATATCAAATAGAATTTCCGATATATATTTGTTAATATGTAAAGGATCTAAAGCGAAAGTATGTTTTGAAATCCGAAATCTGTTTATCAATTTCACGCTGCTCGGCGGCGGGCGCGTAATGAATTGGAAGTTGATTTGTCAGCACTATCCTTATCTTCAGCGCAGATGTTTTTATTTGGCTTATAATTCCTTACTAAATGTAGTATTTCATCTCTCGTCTTTGATATGATTTAAATCAAATTCCTCGTCATTATAATTCGCTTCCGATAGTGAAGAAAGCGACACAGAGGTTATTGAAAACAAAAAAATTTCGATTGACAAATTAGTCGGTGTTTTTGACACAGCAATTATAGGACTTGAACGGCGGAACTTTGTAACTGAACAAGAAATTATGTCTGTTTAATAGAATTAAAGAGAAAGTATTATCACATGAAACGAAGCAAAACTTAAACAACTTACATTGAAAGAAATGTTTAATAAAGTAAACAAATAAATATTAAGCTTTTTCTTTTTGCAAATTTTGATACCCTTTAGATCATAATTGTTCTTTATTTCATTAATTACGGTTTCATATTTTTAATTTTAGAATTTCTGCATGCCATCTTACAAGATTTAAACTGTGATCTATAATCCGGAAAAATCGATAATCCGGAATCGAAGTCCCTACGAGTCCGGATTAACGACTTTTGACTGTAGTAAGTATTCCAAAATTATGTGACATATGCTGGTCTCAGAAATACAGTAGTATCTTTAAAGAGCATTTTATAAGCATAAATATATTTCTGTACTATTTATATTTTATAACATAGTATAGGAAATGGAAAAGCTATTAAAAGAAGGTAATGCATCTACCAGGAAAACTGCTTTCCAATTGCACTGTGCTGCGACAAAATTTGAATTTATAGTGTGCATAGGCCTAATTGCAAAATATTCAGCTCTGCTAGAGCCTGTTTCTAATATTTTACAGTCCAAAAATTTAAATACGCTACAATGTGTAGACCATATAAACAGAATTTTAATGCTTGTAAAAGAGCATCAAAGAACAACAGATGCCAGAAAATTCTGTCTTTCGCAAGTGCTATGGCAAAGAAATATTGGCACTGAACTGCAAGCACCGAGAATTGTAAAACTGCAAAAACTTTGCTCAAATCATCACGCATCTAACCGATGAATTCTGAAAAAGGTCTCTTATTATCACTTATCTGGATTTCTTAAATACTATCACTGGAAGAAAGATTTTGCAGCAATAATTTACCAGCATTTTCTTTGTTGCTATTACATACTGTGGCTATGCTAAAGATGCCAGTGGAAGAATTTACCAAAAAAGAGGAGTGCTTTTGCAATTTTATAATTTGAAAATTTTGACAGTGAGAGATAACTCTGGTATAATTTCTGAAAATCGAAGAAACCAGAGATCGACAACATGAAGAAGTTAACTACGGAAGATTTGGTAAAATGAGCGATAAATTTTTCCCAGAAACAAAACTGCTCTTCTTATATCTTTGTCTCAACTATGTACTGTGTACTATTAAGTGCTCATTTAGTACTCAGCACAGAGAAAAACTCGAATATGCTCTACAATGACAGAGAATCGCTTAAATGGGCTGTGCATGTTAAGTGTGCATCGTAAGCTTGTTCAAGAAACAAGAATAGAAATAGAAAAAGTTTTAGAATGATTTAGTTCAGGCAGTAGAAAAATTGTTGTAATATAAATTAAAGGCTAAGTAAAAAATGCTCAGAAGTCTCTTTATTCCCATCTTCCATATTTCAATTATCTGTTTAAACTCGTGTATTCCAATTCCATTATTTATTTGCTCTTTTATTCGACTATAGCAAAGCATGCGAGTGCTATCCTGAAGGAAAGCTGTCTTATAGGAGAATTTTCTGAGGTAAACTGGCTCGTATTCAATTTATAATACATGGGTTAAAAAAATTTTTTTTATAAATAAATAAACCACTCATGCAGCTAACCAATCCAGTGATAGTATTTAATTCGCTTCCAAATCGAATTACTGGTGTTCAGCAATTTTATCTACTCTACTACTGACAAATTTGTGTTTTATCATAATTTTATTTTCTTGGTCTAAGATCGTCTGCAGCCCCATAGCTCTGATCTTGGCTAAGCCCATGGCTGGAGCTCCAGCACATTGGCGTATAAAACAGAGGACAATGTTAAGGCATAACTTCCATGCAAATGTGGTTCCATTGACCCACATAAATTGTATCAATGTCTCGCAGATGACTTCGCTAACAGTATGAGCAGATGTCACTGTTTGAGAAAGGATGTGCAATTGGACTAAAGGAAGCAGGGTGGTCAAATGCAGGATCACTAGATATCTGGGTCAGAGTGATGCTACCATTCAATGATGTTGGCAGAAATGGGCAAACCATGGCACTGAGTGTCATGAAGGTAGTGGTCGACTGAACGCAACAACAGAGTGATCATCCAATCAGCGCTCACAACTTCTGGTGAGCTCTTATCAACAATTTTATATGCCATGACCACTGACAGGCAACTCAGCGAATAGGGCTGAAGTTACAGAGGTCATTGCAACGACCACCTCTCAACATTGTATACTACCAAGTACATCTGCATTGGTGCCAGATGCATTCGACATGGGATCTCATAGACTGGAGTAGAACAGTTTTCAGCTATTAAGTCCTGCTTTGAAATCAGCCATGATGACTTGTGAAGATGTATCTGGAGACAAATAGAACAGTGGTGGGATACTCACCTTACTGTTGTCTACCACACAGCCCAGCAACTGGGAGTTATTTCAATTGATAGCCGGATCTCTTTGGTTCCATGACACTTTTACAGCATGGTAATATGTTGACAAGATTCTGTGCCTCACAGCCTTTCCTTTCATAGAATCCTGGGCCTTAAATTCCAATAGGATAATGCCAGACTTCACAAGACATGCCTTTCTATTGCTTGTCTTCATGATTCTCCAGCACACTCCTGGCCAGCATGATGACCAGATCTCTTCCTTATAGAGCACACTTGGGTTCTGATGAGCAGGATGAGTCAATGCCCAGCAAGATAACAGGTTGCATCATGGCCAGAGGTAAGACAAAGCTTTATTAACCTCCCCCCTTGCAGCTGTATTTTCTGAATAAAATATTTAATTCCTATGATACTCTTGGGTTTTATATATATATATATATATATATAATATGTTGTATGATCTTAAATCCATTTTAAATTATTATATATATATATACACAAACATCATATCTACTGATTTTTGTCCCATCTTGGGTACTCCTTCTTGGTATGTCGCTTTTTATGTGACAGTGCATATATAGAAAAGCAGAAACTACAACGATGAGATATACAAACCTTAATATTATATATAGGATGTATATTTTTCATTGTATCTTCAACAACTCTACGTACCTTAAAAAAAAAAAAAAAGGCATTATTTAAAATGATATGTAACACTCAAGGTACTAAATAATAAAAGCACAGGATTTTATTTCCCAACAACAATACATACGTTTGGGCTCTTTTTTTTTTTTTTTTTTTTTTTTTTTAAGAGGTTGTCAAATTATACCAAACTTTGAGTCATCAATCAATAAATTAAATACAGCAACACCTCTTGTTAATAATCTAGGATTCTTATTGCATATTATTTAACCAAAGAAATTTACATAAAAGCACACCCACATTTCAGAGTTTTTACCATAAAAATATTGAAAAACTAATTAAAACTTGCAATCTTTAATCTATCTGTAAATTGACCTTGTTTACAAAAAGGTTATTTGTCATTTTTTTGTAATGATAAAAAAATGTATAGCACTACACTTTTTTATCACTATTAAGTTACATTACACTACCAGAGCATTTACCATCCACATGGTTAGTACGTATTAGCATTTCACAAGCACTAAGTACTTTTATTATCATCATGTTCCTAATAAATGGTCAGTTCTTTTATATATTATAGTTCTGAACTTCCTAAGACCTTCAATTTGTCTTCAAAATTAAAACAACATGCTGCTAAACTAATTAAAAGAAATATTTAGACTTCTTAATAATTCAAATTATTTCAACTGCTTTTTAAAAGTAGCCTCAACTGATTTAATGTATATCTAATTCATGCGACTTACAGTATTATCTATGACAATTTTTAATTTCATATGCATAATTTATATAAAACATTACAATAAGATAATAATTTTATTTTGCTTTGAGAAGAGATATCTTTTTATTATTTGCTTTCAAATTTAAAATTTCCAGGAGATGAGCTGCTTTGGTGAAAACATTTTTATTTAGTATATATTTCATACTTATATTCAAATTTGCTCATCGTTATAAAACAGCAAAATTTAATTTCCTTCATACTATTTTTATGCCAACAGGCAAAATAACCTAACCAAAATTAGCTAGACTAATCACCAGGGTTGCTAATGACACTGGCTAGCATATTGATGGGCTTGAATACGAATCCCAGACAGGTTAGGAATTGGTATGGATTTGCTCTTTTCTGCAATGAAACAAAATTCTACATCAAGTTCGAATCAAATGGATAATCAATTTTAATTAAATAACCAGAAATACCTGGTTTTAACATAATTTTAATTAAACTTTAATTATAATACATATATACATAATATAGGTTAAAATGCCTAAATCGAATATCAATATTTAAAAGGCAAGAACTAAATACTTTCATCAAACGAATCTAATGACTGAATTATATTGCACAATGCAGTTCGACATGGGATCTCATAGACTGGAGTAGAACCTCCAGAAGACCAACTCCTCAAATTAAAAATTTTGCAAGTTACGTGTTCAGAAGGGGAAGCGTTAAGTAAGCCAATAGATGGACTTCTAACACCATCTCTTCGCGATATCAAAAAATATTTCTTAACACACTCCCTGAACTTTGACAAGAATTCATATAACTGAGTTATACATACAATCATGTACATAAATCACTATTCTATAAAATACAAAAAATACTAATTAGTCAAAAACTTCAATTCCAAAACAGGTTATACTCAACATGTATCAATTAATAAATGTTATAACTAATAAATGAACTAAATTTGTTAAAATATTTTCAATAAAGCTAAACAAACTTAACTAACAATATTTAATTTAATCATTATTAGAGAAAAAAGAAAAGAAAAATGCATTACAAAATCGTTAAAGTTAAAAATACAGTACAAAATCTGTGATTCCGGATTAGGGGTTTTTTCGGATTATAGACCATCAATTTAAATCTGGTAAGATGGCATGCAGAAATTATAAAATAAAAAATATGAAACCGTAATTTATGAAATAAAGAGCAATTATGATCTAAAGAGTATCAAAAAAAAAAAAAAAAAAAAAAAAAAAAAAAAAAAAAAAGTTTAATATTTATTTGTTTATTTTGTTAAACATTTCTTTCAATGCGTGCATGCGTATGCATACATTACACATAGCAAAAATTAGAAAATTGCAAATAGAAAACCTTTTGATGTGTATTCATGATATTTATAATGATGAGGAACTTGATTTAAATCATATCAAAGATGGAGTAAATTGAGATGAAATAGTACATTTAGTAAGGAATTATAAGCCTAATAAAATAAAAACATCTGCCCTGAAGATGAGGATAGTGCTGACAGATCAACTTCCAGTTCATTGCGCGTCGCAACGTTCCCCCCTCCCCAGCAGAGCAGCGTCAAATTGATAAACAGATTTCAGAATGGTTAGAGAAACAAAGGATATGCCTTTATCCATTTTTTGCAGCAATTCCACTTTTTGTTTGATGAACATTGAAACATTCTTTCGTTTTGTAGATCCTTTGGCAGCTCCAGAATCGGAAACTCTTTTTGACATAATCGAAAATTCAAGCTTACTTTTTATAAAATTGCTCTAACAGTCTGCAAAAAATAATACGCCGGATCCAATTAGAAAATTAAGGAACAACGCAATCTGCAACATTAACTGAAATAGATAATTAAATAATTTTAGCCTAGCTTATACCGTCCATTATACATTAAATGCACATGCATAAACGTATTATGCGCATGAGTAAAAGTATTATATTCTCATGCATAAATGCATATAGGCATGCGCAGAAAGTTTGTAGCTTTGAGGTCCGGATTATAGATTATTCCGGATTAAAGACATCGTATTGTATTTAAAGTTCAAGGGGATATAGATGATGGACAGTATGTTTTAAAGTCCCATTACCAGTTTTTTAATTCGAATGATCAGAGTTTACCATCCATAGTTTTTATTCTGCCAAGTTTCCATAACAGTTGATTTTTATTGTCTCCTTCAACTAAAACAACATCTCTTACTTTTAGTTCTGTTTGAAGTTTTGGATTCTGCAAGAAATGGGCAGTTCTAAGATCTAAGAAATATTGTTGCTTCCATTTGGACCACAACTGTTTTAACAGCAATTCTTGGTAACGCTTTCTTTTTAACAGCGTTTCTCTTGTCGTTTTGCTACTCATGATTCTAGCAAAGGTCGAAAGATACTTCAAATCAGTTTGTCCAATGTTTAGGAAGTGCATTGGAGTCAAGGGTTGTGGCTCATCATAGCTGTTGTAAACATAACTTAGAGGTCCTGAATTAAGAACTGACTCTACTTCGACAAGTAGTGTAGACATTTCTTCGAAGGTCAACAATGCTTTCCCTATGACTTTTCTTAAACATTCTTAAACAGATCTGACAAGTCTCTCATAAAACCCTCCCCACCATGGATCTCGCTTGATTATAAATTTCCAATGAATTCTTTCTTTGGCGATGAAATTCTTGAATTTGTCATGTTTTAAAATCTTTGAAAAATCCTCAAGTTCTTTCCTTGTCCACTTAAAGGTCTTGGCGTTGTCAGAGTAGATGCTTACGCAGTTCCTCTTCTGCTCAAAAATCTACAAAATGCAACTAAAAAGGATTCTGTTGAAATATCTGATACAAGTTCTAAGTGTACAGCTCAGGTTACTGCACAAGCGAACAAAACAATATAGGATTTTTGAGTGCCTTTAGAATTATTTACATGAACTGGTCCGGCGAAATTAATTCCACAGACTGCAAATGGAGGTGATTCTTGGGTTCCACCCTTTGGTAAGGGTGCTGTCATCTGGTCTGCTGGTTTAGCTAAATATTTTTAGCATAACTGGCTTCCTTTAGGAATCCCGAAACATGACCTGACTTTAGCTAAAGTTGCAGCAATTCCTCCATGCATTATCTTCTCATGTTCTTTGCGTACAATTAGTATCATCAGTCAGGAATTTTTAGGTAGGATTTATTGGATGCTTATTATCTAGAGAGAAGTTAGAAAATTTCAATCTTCCTTTCAACCTCATGATTTCCTTTTCATCAATGAAAGGAAGAAAATTATAGAAAGAAGAATTTTTTTCAAACAAAATACCTTCTTTGAGGGATTTATATTCTTCGGCAAAAAACTTCTTTTGCTCTGATCTTATCCGGAAATTTTCTGCTTCTAATTCTTCAGCTGTGAGAGTTCCTTGAATGTCGCTAGTTTTTTCTTAATTTTATAATGAAATGTGTTGTTCAAGCAATGACTCTAACACCTTCTCTAATTTATTGTATTTTTATGTTCGAAACCTATTGTTTTTCACATAAGGAACATTGTTAAGGAATATTTTTGATATCGCCATGAGATGGCATTAGAAGTTCATCTATTGGCTTACTTAATGCTTCCTTCCCCTTCTAAACACGTGACTTCCAAAATTTTTAATTTAAGAAGTTAGTCTTCTTGAGGATAGACTTTGAACTGCATTGCACAATATAATTCGATTATTAGATTCGTTTGAAGAAAGTATTTAGTTCTTGCCTTTTAAGCATTGATATTCAATTTAGGCATTTTAGCCTATAGTATGTATATATGTATTATAATTAAAGCTTAATTAAAAGTATGTATAACCCTCCAGATCATGCATCTCATTTTTTTTATTATCAATTTGATTCGAACTTGATCTAGAGTTTTGTTTCAAGCAGTTGCATCGGCTGGAAACCGAAGAATCTGATTAATTTGAAATTTTGTGTTTCTCACCCTTTGGATTTAAGCTTTCAAAAGCAAAGCCTGCTCACGGTAAGTCTCCTTTGATAATTTATTAAAATGGAACAGAAGACACTGAATAAGAATTGAGCACATATACGTGCTTCTGTAACTCAATTTATTAAAAATGTAGATGAGTATTTAAAAGAAGAAAAACAAGAAGAGTTAGAAAATTGTTTGGAATTGTTAAATAGTAAAGATGAATCAAAATTAGAGTCAGATATTAACATTACTATGGAATATAACGATAAAATAATAATAAAAAAATCTAAAATCAACCATTATTTAAAGAATACAATACTCAAAATATCAACACGAATTTAAATAATTCATCTTCAGAATCAAAATCGTAAAAAACAACCTTGTATTTAGCGTAGGTATAATGAACAATCGATTTCGAGGGCAGCTAAAGGTCCCTCCTCATCAGGAGAAAGAAATACATAGAAAGAAGAAAATAGGAGGAGGAGTCACAGAAACACGTGGTCCTTATCAGCACTGCACGTGGTTATAACTAGATTTTTAATCACAGTTGCACTGGCCACCTACTTTTACTGAGCCAGGCTATCTGATCAAGCATAAAGAAATATTAGCGAAGTTAAAATAGGGGGGCAAATGCACCTTACGCTCCAAATCTGAACTTCAAATAATGGAAAGCAACCACTGAACGGATTTTTATACCCTCTGGTAGTACCAAACGCGAGGAGGTAACGCCATCTATCGGCAAAAATAACTGAATTAAGATAGTAGAATTTTAAAGGCACTAGGAAGGACTGGATTGGACTTCAAATCATTAACTAAACTTGCTAAATCTTTGTGAATGTGAAAAGCGTCAAGAAAATCCAATTCACCTATGGAAGAAGCCTTTTGGATGATTTTTGCAGACCCAAAATCAAAATTATGGTTAAAAGTCCAACTATGATACGCTATTGAAGACTTGTTAACTTCACCTTTTTTGACATAAGATTCATGTTCCTTGATATGAAACTTCAGCGCTCTTTTTGTTTGGCCAATATATCTTAAACCACACTGACACGATATACTATAAATTCCCCAAGAATTCAAGACAGAAACGCAATCTTTTAGAATCGAAGGGTGAATTTTATTAATAGGGGAGAAACTGACTTGAAAATTGAATTTCTGGAGAATCTGTGCAATTTTATAGCTAACAGAAGGATAAAATGGAAGCACGACAAGGTCATTAATATTATTTCTAACAGTGGAATGTCTTCTTTGATGGGAATCTGAAAATTTTTTAACGGCTTTATCAATAGTTACTTTATCGATAATTAAAAAATTTTCAGATTCCCATCAAAGAAGACATTCCACTGTTAGAAATAATATTAATGACCTTGTCGTACTTCCATTTGATCCTTCTGTTAGCTATAAAATTGCACGGATTGTCCAGAAATTCAATTTTCAAGTCGTTTTCTCCCTATTAATAAAATTCACCCTTAGATTCTAAAAGATTGCGTTTCTGTCTTGAATTCTTGGGGAATTTATAGTATATCGTGTCAGTGTGGTTTAAGATATATTGGCCAAACAAAAAGAGCGTTGAAGTTTCGTATCAAGGAACATGAATCTTATGTCAAAAAAGGTGAAATTAACAAGTCTTCAATAGCGTATCATAGTTGGACTTTTAACCATAATTTTGATTTTGGGTCTGCAAAAATCATCCAAAAGGCTTCTTCCATAGGTGAATTGGATTTTCTTGACGCTTTTCACATTCACAAAGATTTAGCAAGTTTAGTTAATGATTTGAAGTCCAATCCAGTCCTTCCTAATGCCTTTGAAATTCTACTATCTTAATTCAGTTATTTTTGCCAATAGATGGCGTTACCTCCTCGCGTTTGGTACTACCAGAGGGTATAAAAATCCGTTTAGTGGTTGCTTTCCATTATTTGAAGTTCAGATTTGGAGCGTAAGGTGCATTTGGCCCCCTATTTTAACTTCGCTAATATTTCTTTATGCTTGATCAGATAGCCTGGCTCAGTAAAAGTAGACGGCCAGTGCAAATCTGATTAAAAATCTAGTTATAACCACGTGCAGTGCTGATAAGGGCCACGTGTTTCTGTGACTCCTTCTCCTATTTTCTTCTTTCTATGTATTTTCTTTCTATGTATTTCTTTCTATGTATTCCTGATAAGGAGGGACCTTTAGCTGCCCTCGAAATCGATTGAGTGTTTCATTATACCTACGCTAAATACAAGGTTGTTTTTTACGATTTTGATTGTCACATTAGTGTGTTTCTCTTCTAGTCTCATCTTCAGAAGTTGAAACCAAAAGTCGCATTGAAAGTAATTGAAATTGCCCAAACTCTTAATTCACAAATTTTCCAGAGACTATAACAATAGGATGAATTTTTTGAATTTATTCAAGGTTACTATTCATGATAATGTTACACTTTCGAAGATCGAAAAATTTAATTATTTCAAAACTTATTTATGTGGCAATGCAGCATCAGCCATAGAAGGTCTCTCAATCTCCGAGGCTAATTATGACTCTGCTACAGACATTCTTAAAAATAGATTTGGTCAAAGTGACCTTATTATTAATACACACATTTCTAACCTCTTAAATTTATATCCCGTTCAAATGAAGTGACAATATTGCGAAAACTTTGATACAATTAACGTTCAAATCAGAAACCTTTTAGCACTTGGTGTGAAACCAGAAACATATTCCAACATGTATATTCCAATTTTGATGAAAATTGTTCCGAATGATATAACTTTAGAATTTCATCACACAAATATTGGAAATCCTTCAACCTATGATTTAAACAAATTTCTCAACTTTTTCTGATTAGAAATAGAATTGCAAGAAAAAATTAATTCTTTATCCTTTCCACGCAAGTCAAAACCAAAAATGAAAAGTATTAACAGATATCCACCAACGCCAAAATATAAACAAACTGTCACTACACATAAATTTATGGCAGACGCAGCATCAAACGAAACTGCATTTTTTTGTTTTCAGAACCATGACTCAGAATCCTGTTTATGCTTTACAGTTAATGAGAAGAGAGATATTTTGAAAAAGCAAGGGCGTTGTTTTCTGCGTTAAGCACAAAATTTCAGAATGCCGGCAACGGCAAATTAAAGTTTGTAAAATTTGCAAAGGTAAACATTTGGAAGCCATATGTTTTAAATCTAGTTCGATAGTTAAAAATACAGCAAGTGATAAAAAGGATAGAATATCAGCTTCGAGAAACAATACACAAACTAAGGAACAGAAAGAAAAAATTGTTTCGGCTGTTTCGCATAGGTAAGGTAAATAATATAATTATTTTACAGACTTGCACAATAAAAATTAAAACAGCTAAGGAAAAAGTGTTTGCCAGAATTCTCTTGGATAGTGGAAGTATGAAAAGTTTTTGTGCTCGTGAGTTAGCGAACAGATTAAACCTCGAAGTCATAAGAAAAGAAAAATTGACTTTTGGGAATACCTCACCCATCCAGTAAAATTATGACGTAGTTAAATTTAGAACATAGCAGTTCTCCCAATTCTAGAATAGAAGTTGAATTATTAGTAACTGATCATATATCAGGTACAGATATTCCCCCTCCTAAATCAGAAGAAATTAAGCAAAACAAACAATTAAAAAATTTCATACTCCCAGATTTTCCCAATTGTGAAAAACTCATTGCCATTCTAATTGGAGCACATTATTATTACAACATAGTAATGTGACACATTAAATATTTAAGCAAAAACCTTGCTGCAGTGGAAACTATTTTCGGCTGGTGTCTACATGGACGAAAAGGTGATGATGATGTCTCTTTGGCTTTCAAATGTAGTTGTAGGGGAAAATTTCATTTCCAAACAAATAACAAAATTTGGGGACTCGAAAACTCAGAACTTTTTGATAAGAGGGAAAACTTCGATTCAACTGAAAATGAAGTCATCGAACTTTTTGAATCAAATATAACATATGAAAATTCTCGCTACAAATTTAGAATGCCTTGGAAACATGACACATCAAAAGTAAATAATAGGGAAATTGAAGAACAAAGATTTAATCGACTTAGAAAACAGTTTTAAAAAAATTATAATCTATTTTTCGAATAAAGGAGCATATTAAGAGATCAGTTAAAGCAAAATATTATTGAACCAGTTACAGAAATTTCAAATGAAGAGGATGTTGTGTTTTACTTACCACATAGGGAAGTTATACGCGAGGATCGAACTACAAGTAAATTACGTATTGTTTATGATGCATCATCACATGCACCAGGGTCCATTTCTTTAAATGACTGTATGTTGGGCCAAATTTATACCCCGAAATATTCTAAATATTGTTAAGATTTCGGTATAATCCAATAGCTTTCGCCGCAGATATAAAACAAGTCTTTTTACAGATTCTCATACATGAAAAGGATTGGGACGCAACCAGGTTTCTGTTCTCCAAATTTCCTAATGATGAAACCATTTCTCCTCACATATAAAGGTTCACTAGAGTTTTATTCAGAATAAATAGTAGTCCATTTCTATTAAACGCTACCATTAAACATTATCTGAAAAAATATAATAAACGTTATCCTACAACAGTTCACTTTTGAATGAGAACATATATGTAGATGATGTGATTGGAAGCCAACTAACGATCAATGGAGCATTAACTAAGAGTCTAGAATAGGTCCAAATATTTAAGGAAGCAAGCACGCAGCTTCACAAATGGCACAGTAACTCAAGACAATTACATGAATTGTGGGTAAAACAGGGTATTGTTCCAGATGAAAATCCTGAAGCTTTTATTAGAGAAAATTTCCCATTTAAGGTCTTAGGTATGGCATGGGATAATTCAAAGCAAATTTATATAATTCAGTCTTCCTTAGGATAAAACCATTTGTAGCAGTCTCTAGCCTCAACATCGCATTGGCAAAACTCTCACAAAAGATTAAAAGGCATTTCTATATGCACTATAGATGAATTCAGTCCTCCTTCCCCAATAAACAAAATCAATGAATAGCATGAACGAACCCTCACAAAAAATCTTACACAAATGGCAGGTAGAACTTTGGAAAATTAGTAAAATTCAAAAATGAAAATGCTATTAAAAATTATGCTATTAAAATTTAAATGAAATTATATAAAGATATAAAGCCACTTACATGTTGTAAGCCTTTGTATGGCCCCAAAGCAGCAACAGTATTACCTTGCACAAGAACATAGCAGTTCGTAAGGAGTTCTATGGCCTAAAATACATAACATATAAATATATATATATATATATATATGCCTATGGAGTAATAAATGTAGAAAAATAGATATTGCAGATATTCTAATGCACTCTAGTTCAGTAAGTCATGAATGTATGTTACCCTAGTTAACCCCTGTTGAGACTATGCTATGACCAGTTTTGCACAAAATAATGATAATAAATGTATGGATTTATTATTGGAAAAGCATGTTCAATATATGTCCAGTTTAGCATAAATCCAAAGATCTGGAATGGATTAATGATGTATACTGAGGTACCACTGTCCAATTTACATACAACGGCATTTTATAAAACTTAACTACGTTGAAACTTTTCTAAATATTACTTATAATTACTAAATCTGGTGCAAAAAGAAAGCTTAAATTAATGCATACACAGTCTTTAATTTATTAAATTGTTCAATCTATGCACAGAATTTATAAGTTTTCTTGTACAGTACAAAGTTCTTAATCCGGAATTATCTATAATTCGGACCTCAAAGCTACAAACTTTCTGCGCACCTTTACGCATGTGCATTTTATGTATAACGGACGGTATAAGTTAGGCTAAAACTATCTAATTATCTATTTCGGTTAATGTTGCAGACTACGTTGTTCCTTAATCTTCTAATTGGATCCGGCTTATTATTTTTTGCAGACTGTTAGAGCAATTTTATAAAAAGTAAGCTTGAACTTTCGATTATGTCAAAAAGAGTTTCCGATTCTGGAGCTGCCAAAGGATCTACAAAGCGAAAGCATGTTTCGATGTCCATCAAACAAAAAGTGGAATTGCTGCAAAAAATGGATAAAGGCATATCCTTTGTTTTCTAACCATTCCGAAATCTGTTTATCAATTTCATGCTCTTTATTTCATAAATAACAGTTTCATATTTTTTACTTTTTAATTTCTGCAAGCCATCTTACCAGATTTAAATTAATGATCTATAATGTGGGAAAACCCCTATTCCGGAATCTACGAAGTCCCGACGAGTGTGGATTAGAGACTTTGTACTGTACTTCCTAATCATCTGAACCCCCACAGAAAATGTGTGAAAACGTATTGATGAGGCAAAACACATGTCACCAAAAAAATATTTATGTGGCATCCCGGGGATGTAAACAGCACATGTGTGTTCGAGTATACATGCATCAGCACTTTTGAAATTCAACAGCCATTTCTCTGATTAGTATCTCTTCTTACATTGAGGATATCTGTTTTTGACATAATGAATCATAGTTGTGGAATTTGCCCTCTTTTTTTCCATTATGTTGGAGTGTACACTGAAGCTTCAGCAGTTTTGGGACAACTGGGATCAGTGCTCAATGCTGAGTTTGTATAATTCTAAATTTTTAGTGAAAACAAGAAGGAGTACATGCAAGGATAACAATGGCACAAAATTACAGAAGGATTTCTAGAAAAAGGTAAATGTTATTCTTTCCCATGAATGTACTGGGATCAGTGCTCAATGCTGAGTTTGTATAATTCTAAATTTTTAGTGAAAACAAGAAGGAGTACATGCAAGGATAACAATGGCACAAAATTACAGAAGGATTTCTAGAAAAAGGTAAATGTTATTCTTTCCCATGAATGTAAAAACACATGTGGTAATGGATACATCACTGAAGTAGATGTAAACAAATATTCCTCTCCAATGATTGCAACATGTTTGTGTCTTTTCAGTGGTGGGAAAAAAATCAGAAAGCACTCCTTCCTTTTCATATAATTATTTCATTCATTTCAGCTACAGAATGAGAAGGAATATGCACCTTTTTATAGTACAAAGCAACACTTCATATGTAAAGAAAGAAAAATAGTTATAACAGCAATAAGCAAATAATTTAACCATTAGTCATTTTTGCTGTTTAAAGAGAAGCATCATTAATTACATAAGCTGTTGAAAGGATGGTTGAACAAAAATATACTTTCCCCACCCTTTTCTTAATAGAAATGAACTCAATACAAGCCTTTTAATTTTTTTTAAAAATCAAAATCTAAAACAGAATCTCATAAAAAATAAGAAACTAAAAAAAAATTAATTCAAAAACTGATCACAACATACAAGTTATACTTTAGAATGAATCTTAGGTTTTTAATAACTTAAAAAATTTTGACAGACAAACACGCTTCCCAATGGCAACACACTCTCTCTTCTTTTACACCATTCCCCCCCCCCATTTTAATTCGCAGTTAAATAAAATTTCTGCCAGAATTTTTAAATTTTTTTTAAAGTTTTGGCTGAATGAAAATGTTTCACGTTTGAAAATGATAAAAACTATGAGCTTAAAATGTTTCAAATTAGCTTATTAGTTCCTATTAGCTGAAATACCAATCGAATTTTTTTTTTTTTTTTTTTTTTAAATAATGGAACAAGTAGCCCACTTTTTTATAGAAACAGGATGCTATTTTTTCATTTTCACATTCTCTGCCATATGACAATCTACACAAAATTTTCCATTTAACATCATTTCAAATATCTTTGTGTCAGGCAGCGGCAGGTAGCCAACCCATGCATGAAATTCTTGTAAACTTTGATTAATAAATTCATGCACATCACTCTATTTATTTTTAAGATGTAATGAGTACTCACCTGCATTATAAGAGCTGTACAAAATGGTAGCCATTTACTTTCAGGCAATTCTAGCATCTTTTAATGAAATTAGCATTCACACACATAAGCTATTTTTCCTAAATGATTGAATTTCTATTCAAATGTTGTCTTTGAGTTCATTAATAGTGTGAAGGTTGTTTCGGTAGACTCTATTCTTTAGAATTCTCCATAAAAAAAATAGTCACACATGCTCATATTTGGGAAATATGTGGGCCATAAACCTTTACAAATGATTCTACCATCAAACATGTTAGCATAAATTTAGGTATTTTGCATAATGAAACTCGAAAGGCATACGAAACAAACGTGCGCCAAGGTATATATTGGCGAGAGAAAGTAAAGCTCGTGTGCAATGCAGTATATTTGATTTTCACCCTAGCTACTTGTACCTGGCCAAAGGTCTAATCCAGTAGTACTTTCTTCTCTTTCAGGTACGATGCAAAGTATCGAAGTATGTTCCTGTTTATTTTCTTATTGCCTAAATATAGGTAAGCCTGATGATATTTAGGACCGATGATGATTCTATGTAAGTTATTCTTTTGAATACTTCAATTTTAATGTCCTTGAAGATTATTACTTTATTGTTATGCTTAAGTTAAGCAGAATTATCCTATTTTATTAAATAAAGTTTTCGTAGTTAATCTTTTGACTTATAATTCTTTAATTCTGTGCTTGAGGAAACGTACTCATTACGCCTTCAGTGCTAATGCACAACCAACAAAAGATTATGAGACTGAGAAATTGAAATTTTGTAATGTTGTAAGATTCCAGGGGCATAAAGTGTTAAAACTCTTTGTTGAAAAAAAAAAAAAAACTAGTTACAAAGTTTATAAGAATAATTGTAACAAGTAATAATGTCTATTCTGAAAGAACCAATTCGTATAGAAAAATTAACAGATGAAAATTATTCAGTGTGGAAATTTAAAATAAAACAACTTCTAATAAAAGAAGGTTTAGATGATGTTGTATTCGAAGAAAAACCGGAAACTGATACTGATACTGATATTTGGTTAAAGAATGATCGTAAAGCTAAAGCTTTAATATGTCTAAACATTTCGGATTCGCAAATTATCCATGTTTTACATAGTAAATCTGCAAAAGAAGTTTGGCAGAAGTTAAGAAGTTAAAATGTGTCCATGAACGTGTAAATTTAACAAATAAGTTATTTCTTCTTAGAAAACTATATTCCATTAGATATAATGAAAGTTCTAAAATGCAGGAACATATCAAAGGAGTACTAGAATTGGCTGAAAAGCTGCGTAGTATAGGTGAAGAAATTAAAGAAAATAACTTAATAGCAATACTACTATGTTCTTTACCAAATTCATACAACTCCTTAATAACTGCAATAGAAAGTAAATCGGAAGCGGAAGCTGAATTGTCGCTAGAATATGTTAAAAACAAACTAATAGATGAGTATTGTAGACGTGTGGAAACTAAGAAAGTTCAAAAGTACGATTCAGTTGCTTTAAAAAGTAAAAGCGAAAAAAAATAAACCAAAGTATGTTACACAATTTTGTACTTATTGTAAGAGAAAAAAATAACCATACGATAAATGACTGTTTTCATTTAAAACGCAACGCTAGAACTTCCCCGAAAACAGATGTAAATAATAGTAAAGTAAGAAAGAAATTATTCTCAAAATTATAAAAGTAATGCATGCCAAATAGCAAATACGCGCAAAGTGTAGAAAACATAACAAAACTTAAAGAAAATAAGTATTTTAAAAGTATTGAAACTGAAAATTCGCAGATTCAGTTTAATCAAGTTCTAAAAGTGGAAAATAAACATGAAAACACGCAAACGCAAGAATGGGTTATCGACTCAGGAGCCTCAACTCATATGACGAGTAATAAGAATTTTTTCTCTCAGTTAAATGACTCTAATAAACAAATAGTAACTGTAGCCAATGGTGCTAAATTAAATTCTTATGGTATTGGTGAAGGCTATTTTAAAGTTCAAAACTTAAAGGGTCAGGTTACACAAATAAAATTGGAAAATGTATTGTATGTACCAGGTTTAGATAGTAATTTACTTTCTGTTCAATCTGTTACCAATAAAGGTTGCATTGTTACATTTGATAGTAATAAGTGTTACATAAAGCGTAACAATATACTCGTAGCCGACGGCAACGCTCAGCAAGGTTTATATAAATTGATCGTAAACCCAATTGACGAGAAAGCATACTTAGCTAATAATGTTTCATGTTCAAATACGAACTGTATACTAAAATGGCATCAAAGATTAGGCCACAGAAATATAGATGCCATAAAAACACTTGAGAAAAATGATTTGGCAGACGGCATTAAACTTGGCAAATGCACTCATAGTGTGGAATGTTCTACTTGTGTAAAAGCGAAACTAACTGAAACAAAAACCTTATCCCA